CCCTAAACCCTAAACCCTAAACCCTAAACCCTAAACCCTAAACCCTAAACCCTAAACCCTAAACCCTAAACCAGAAACCCTAAACCCTAAACCCTAAACCCTAAACCCTAAACCCTAAACCCTAAACCCTAAACCCTAAACCCTAAACCCTAAACCCTAAACCCTAAACCCTAAACCCTAAACCCTAAACCCTAAACCCTAAACCCTAGCCAGACTTAGGGGGAGAGAGTCGGAGGCTCACGCGGTCGATGTGCCTTGTAGTCTTGGAGTTCAGGGTTTAGGGTGATTGTTAGGGCCATTACCGGGTCATTACAGGGATATTCTAGGCTTGTTACAGGTTTAGGGTTTTAGGGGTGTTTTTTGGAGGCTTTACGGGCTTTGGGACAGCGGCTTATGCATTAGGCCTTGTGGCCCAAAACGTGCCCGAACCATTTTTTTCTCTAGACGGTAGGTATCTTTTCTGGCTTTAGGAGCCTAGTTGGGTTGAGGCATTCGTGGACTAAACATGAGGGTTAGCGTTTAGGGTTTTTGGGTTTAGGGTTTAGGGTTTAGGGTTACACCACTAACATGTGCACATCTGCATGCTTTCAAGTGGTCGGGTCAGTGGTGAATTCGAGAGGAGCATCACTTGATCGTCTGCACGCTCTGCACCCTTGGCTTGAAGTATTTTACGGCTCAGTGGTTTACAGGTTCATGGGGTTTATGGGGTTTAGAGGGTTTATAATAGGGTTTATAAGAGGGTTTATAAAAGGGTTTAAAGGGTTCCTTAGGGTGCAGGGATTCCTGTCTCCCATGGCGAAATCGGATTTGGCCACGCGAAGCACCTGAAAGCCACGTAAGGAATGCTTGTCGGGGTCGGGGTGGGGGGGGGGGATGGTGACGGCCAGGACCGGGAGTTTTGTTCAGCAGTTTGCACGTGCCCTCATGAACGGCATGTCATGTGATGTCATACGCACTGGGCGCATCGCGGGAGGTATTAAGGGGCATAAGGAGGGACCTTAATCTTATTCCCCTGTGTAACCCCTACATGTATATATATATATATATAGAGATACCTTATATGGTCCCTGTATACCTGAATACCCCCCAAGGTTCCTAATAAGAGTCCCTCCTTTCGTCCCTTGAAGGTAGCTGCTATCCGCTGACGTTGCTGGGTCTCTCGCCGGATTGGCTGCTGGGCTTAGATCCGCCTGCGCATGCGTGAACTTCGGTTAAGGTTTAGGGTCTAGGGTTTGGGGTTAGGGTTTACATCACACGTACCAGCCAAACTCTTAGGGAAACCTAAACGGATGTTCTCCCTTATACTGACAGTCCTTAACAGGCATTATGGTGCCCCCTACTATAATTCCTATGAAGGACTGCCCAGACCCCAACCTAAACCCCCAAAAGACAAGTCTATAGTTCCCTGCAATGCGTCGTGAGTGTCAGCGAAGCAAGTCTTAAAAACAATCTAGGGTCCCAAGGGTTTAGGGTTTAGGGTTTAGGGTTTAGGGTTTAGGGTTTAGGGTTTAGGGTTTAGGGTCAAGCCCCAAGGCCAGCCTCGCTCAAGGTACAAGTCACGGGAATACCGCTCGCGCGCTGTGCGCGAGCCTCGCGCGGTGCTGAAGGAGTTCGGGACCCACATCCCTGCCGATACGCAGGCCAAACGCATCCACCTTATGTAACTTGAATTTGTAGTCTATGTTTTGATTACATTCACATCACTACATATGTTCTACTAGACTTGAACACATGACACTATATGGTTATGGTCCATTATGTATAACAAGCCTTATTGTAAAAGGAGTTGATGTTATATGATATTGTGGTATCGCGAAGACCGGAAAACCCCGAGTCGCCCATACACCATTGTGCTATAGGAGTGGTTTAGGGTTTAGGGTTTAGGGTTTAGGGTTTAGGGTTTAGGGTTTAGGGTTTAGGGTTTAGGGTTTAGGGTTTAGGGTTTAGGGTTTAGGGTCAAAGTGAAGAGTGAAACTCCGAGGAAAGCTTGCTTGCTCTGGAGGAGTTGGAGAGCGCGAGAGGGATACACTCGACTTTTGTATACACCGTTGTGCGATGATAGATGGAAACAAGAGGACTAAATGAGATCTAGGCCGCCAGTCAAGATCAACTCTAGTTTTCTCTCCGTCAAATCTCCTATTCGTCATTTCCGAAGATCCTGGCTCTAGTATGCCTGTTTTGAGTCAAATAGACTTAAGTATCCTCGGCGAATCTGGAGCAGATTCCAAGGAAGGAAAGAGGCTTTCACTTGGAGAAAGTTCCACCAGCCAGTTTGAGATGGATGGTTCAAAACATCGCGTGCCGAGTGTGCTGGATCATGTCCGAAGACATCCTTGAAAAATGCACTGGCATTAGACAGACTTCACTTCTGATCTCCTCCTTGCGAAGCCCTCACAGGCCCTCAGCCCGAAACCCTCAAGACCCCTACAGGGCCGTTTTTGTTGGGCTGGGTTCCATTTGCCCTTTCATCCCTGGGCTACTCTTCTGGATCCTAAGCCCCTGGGTTTAGGGTTTAGGGTTAAAGCCCCAACACCCTAAACCCTAAACCCTCCTAAGCCCCAAATCCTCCCTGCAGGTCGTGGTGCATGACTCCACAGCCGACTGCCGCTTCCTGGTTCTCCCAAACCGACCCAAAGGTCGGCTTAGGGATTTGGGGAGCCCTAAACCCTAAACCCAAAACCCTAAAGGCCAACAACGTTGTCAGCGAATGGGGCAGCCGCCATTGCCCTCACCTGGCAGTAGGTCACAAGATCGCCTGCTGTAAAAGTCGAATTGTCTTGAACCAAAATGGCCGTAGCCATTTAAATTTTGGTTCAAGGCAATTCGACTTTTACAGCAGGCCATCTTGTGACCTACTGCCAGGTGAGGGCAATGGCGGCTGCCCCATTCGCTGACAACGTTGTTGGCCCGATGCCGGATCCCATGGGAATGGCTCGAGCGGCTGGCGATACGAATCCTACGGGTACCGTTCGTCAGCTCTGCACAATTGCATGTGCACTTGGGCGCACAATGCAAGAGGGTGAAGGGTGGATGTGTGAAATCTGTCAGGAGCCGACTTTCGGGTGCGCCAGTTGCGGTAACGGCATTTGCGCAGGATGTGCGACAGCGGCGTATGCCATGAGCGGAACGTCAATTCCAGTTTGGTTCGGAGGTGTCGACGATGAGGACACTGGCGAAACTTACATGACCGGAGGATGTCCGTTTTGTCGAGCCAATTGGGTTCGGCAAGAGCAACCTTTTTTCGAATCGGACGGCAGTGCAGTGTACCGATCTGGTGGTTGGACAAACGAGGTCGGCGAGGCGGTGACGCGAAGTGATCGACGACGCACAATTATCCGTGAAATTCGAAGCGGGGACAGGGCAATCGAGACGGACGGATCTGCAGAAGCATGGGCGTGCGTCTGGCTTTCCGGGATTTTGGACACCCCTGTGAAGAGAGTGTTCTTCGGAACGGAAGCCACGAGGATCGCCGTGCAATGCCACAGACAGATGGCAGGTGCTGTGTGCGAGATTGCTAAGGTGTTGCACACGCCTCCGAAATTCGGATCTTGCGCATGCATTGAGATCGAAAACGGACAGATTTTCGTTCGCATTTCCAAGGGACTTTACGTCGACGGAGGTGTGAAGGCAATGCGAGAAGTGAACTGGCACGCGCTTGAGTCCACCGCTGGGCAGATCAGAGTCACGGTGTCACGATCAGTTTTCAGTTTTCAAAGAGGAGAGGACAGGCTTGCACAGCTGACCGGGGCTGTTGCCGATGTTCCCGAAGAGCTGGCAAATTGCATTATGCAGCAAGTCAACAGTGACTTGACCAGCGGTCGAGAGGTGAATTACAACATTGCGGCTGTTCAGAACGTCATCGAGCACATCTTAAGTGCTCGAGCGAGCCAGACATAGAGAAGCCATGGTATCTGGTAGACGGAACGGGATTGTGCCCGATTTCCGGGGATTTCGACACGGCGGGCTTTGGGGAGGTCGTCGACATCGGCGAAAGATACGCCGTCGGATCGGCGGTCGGAGGAGGCTGCCGGTGCGGCTACGTAGTGCAGCAGCTCGACGCGGGAGACGAGCCCGGTTTTCAGCCGACGGAGCGTGCGTATTTCGAGGCCGTCGTGCGGCCCGTCTTGCGGAGACAGGTCGTACAGACTCCGCAAGGTGATGCGATCGCGCCAGTCGCCAGTGTTCGAACTCGGTCTGAGGTGGGTTGATTTCGTCAAAGCTGTACGATACGTCGGAAACATTGGCGATGTCAGCAACGATGTCACCGAGAGGCTCGCGACGTCCCGATGTATATAGGTCGATGGCCGCCGGCACGCAGTGCGTTGTCATAGACAAGGCAAACAGCAATGACCCATCTGGAACAACCACCGTCTCCGACTATTTGGAGTTGAGTGGTTTTTTTTTGAGTCCGTCGAGGCGCCTGTAGGCCAGAGAATCGCGGTCACTTTGGTGTCGCCCGCGGTCCTTGGTCCTGCTTTGTCGAGAGCCACATCATTTGTGGTGAACCACAACGGAGCTTCGCTTGCGCGGGCGTCTCCTATTTTCACAACGCAGGAGATCACAGTCGGAGGACAGACATTTACGCGACACACGAAGATCGATATTCCGGTTGTCGCCAAAGTCGCTGCGTCGCCTGCTGAGCAGGCGACGATAAGCGAAATTAACAAGCAGCGGCGAAGAGCTGCGTTGAACGAGCCGGGGCAGCTCAGCGATTTGGCAATGACACCGGTCGTTGTCGGCGCCGCGTACCGGGGTCAGGTTCCGTGGAACTTGCCTATCCAGTTGCACGACGCCATCATGCCGATCAGAGCGACTCTGCAGGACCAAGTGATTGAGGCCTTGGTCGGCCGAGGGAGGATTGAGAATACCCCTGAGGAGCGTGGCCACGCGAGCATCATGCTGAACGCATTGGTGGCGCCGGGTATTTGCACCCGACGCTGCGGAAAGTGAAGGATCTGCTCCTGATGGATTGCCCGATGGAGAGCGAGGTCAACGAGTGCGCGACGGTGGCGTGGGTAATCAAGCCAACGGAGATGCTTTTGGACGATGACGGGGTCGAAGTCGTATACGAGAGAATCGACACGAGTCTGTATACGAACCCAGCCTGCAACGCGAGCGCAGTCTGCGCAGGCGCGAATCGCGCTATTGTCTCAACTGAGGAGGACAATGGAAATTTGAAGATTGGAGTCCCGGCGCCCTACGACAAGAGACTTGTCGAAGGCGCTGTTGGAAGCGACGTTGAGTCGGACTTCGGAGTGCGCGTTTTCAGTTTGTTGCTGCACGCCATCACCGAGGAGAGCCATGCAAAGCCGTTAAGGGCCTACTTGACTACCAGAGATGGCTCAACTGTCATGTGGAACGTCGACGCCATCCCTATCGTTATTGCCATCATGAAGGGATCGCGGACATCGGATAGGTCCACAATTGGCGAGCTCTTAAGCTTGTCGAGGGCCGCGTGGGCGGCTGACATACAGGATGGCACGCTGCCTGCAACATGTCCGGCGATGAGGGAGATATGCACCGACACGCAGACCTACACCGCACTAGTGGCGCTCCCAGATGGAAAAAGAAGAGCCAAGGACGCATGGGGACCGTGTATAGGCGGTAGACCACCGCGCAACGTCGAGTCGACGAGACTGACCGCCCACACGCAGTTCAAGGCATTTGTCAACGGGAGAGCAGCGATCAGAGGAGCCCAGAGGCTGCAGAGCCAAGGATACTCCGCTAGCTCTGCCGCTGCCTTGACTGGGATGACGCAAGGTGTCACTGCAGCTCCTTCGGAAGGATCGGGCAGCGCTGGCACGCCGACTGTCGGCATTCTTCCGCGCCGCGGAAGATTCAACTGAGTACGACTTGTTGTTTCACGTTGTGCGCTAGGCTCTTCCACGGGGAGCCTGCGTGCTCTCGCCTGGCGTACAACCACGGTTGTTGCCGTCGAGTGACGCATGCTGCCACCTAAGGGTGTCGCTGCCAGGCATTGCGCCATCGCTCGTTTTTCGGACCGGGCGGATGGTCCACGCGATATTCCTGCGCACTACGGTGCGTAGGATGGGCGGTACGGCGCCGCTTTCATCACGCCCGGTTCGAGTGTCCTTAAACCAAAAAAAGAAAGAAAAAAACCCTAAACCCTAAACCCTGGTTGAGGAATTTGTTGGTGGGCTGTCTTCCGGGTTCAGGGCTTAGGTTCCTGGGGCTCTAGATGTTCAAAGGCGGAAGGCTACTGGCTGCGCCCTAAGCTCTAGACCCTAAACCCTAAACCCTAAGCCTAAGCTCTAGACCTGGGCTTCAGACATGTTCAGGGTTCATGGCTCGGCCGTGGAATGAAGACTACAAATAGCTTAAGAATCCCGAAACAATAAAAATCATTCTTCCTTATTAAGGGGAATCTAGGGATTATTATTTTGTTTCATGCTTTTGGGGTTCTTAAGCAAATAGTAGAAGAGGAGTTTAGTGTTTAGGGATATTGAGATATCCATGGATATCGAGATCAGTTCGGGTTTCGGACAAAGGTCTTCTAGGACCCAGAGTAGGCCCTTATTCCCCTTGTTTTTAGGCTTCAGGTTCCCTTACCAGCCCCTTTGAACCAACACAGGCACCCTTAGGGTTTAGGGTTTAGGGTTGAGGGTTTAGGGTTTAGGGTTTAGGGTTCTTCTTATTCCGTGCAGCGAGGTACAGAGGCTTGGTCGGAGGAGAAGCTGCAGGAGATCATCACCCGCGACTCCATGATTGGTGCCCTGGTCGCATTGTTTTACACCACTCAGAGTTGATGCCATGACTAAATTCCAGCACCCACCCCCCCCCCCCCCCACAAAAAATGAAACTTGTGGAAGGGGCTAAGCGCATATAAGCGGCCCATTTCTACACCACCCTGATACCCTAAATCCTAAACCCTAAACCCTAAACTAGAAAACCAAAATAGCCTCGAAGCCTGTTACCGCCGCCAAAGCGCGACTAATGGAACTGACACATGGGCTGGGCTCTAAATCTTGGCTCCCCCTTTGAGGTGCACTGTGTAAAAGACAAGGCTCTGCGTTCTTGGGCTTAGGGTTTAGGGTTTCGGGTTTAGGGTTTAGGGTGCAACAAGAAGGGGTTTAGGGTTGAGGGATAAGGGTTCAGGGTTGAGGGATTGTAAGGTTTAGGGAACCCGAACAAGGCATCACGGAAGCCCCCCCCGCACGAGACTGAGGTGTTACCCGCCTGCCCGAGTCGCTCTGATGCTTCCATATATGGGCTCTTAGTATTAGTAGGGAAGGGGAAGGAGGGAATGAGGTACCCCATACAAATTCCTTAAACTATATATATATATACATGTGTATAGATATGTATATAGGGAAATGGGCACCCTACAAGATGTATCTAGGGAAGAATTTAGTACCCTATGAGATCCCTCAAGGACACACATATATACATATATATATATATATATATATATCTATCTATCCATCTATCTATCTATCTATCTGTGTGTGTGTACTCAGGCGGGGACATACATATTTTCCTTCATTCCCTACGGTACCCGGTATGGCACGGCCTCTATTGGTTCCCCTAGAAGCAGGTAGGAACCCCTCACAGTAGCTACGACTATCGAAGGAGCTATAACTTCATGCAAGATTTAGTTCAGAAGTGTATATGCGTTAGGGTTTACGGTTTAGGGTTTAGGGTCTAGATTTGAGGGTTTAGGGTTTAGGGTTTAGGGTTTAGGGTTTAGCTTAGGTTGCAAGGTCCCTTCACAATAGCTAGTGCCGTGAGGGGGGCCCTCCATGGAGGAGTTGAATCTTCGTTCAAAGCTGTCAAGCCAAGGGCTTGAGAAGCGTCACCTGCGAGACTCAAAAGGTTTGCTGGGTTTAGGGTTTAGGGTTTAGGGTTTAGGGTTTAGGGTTTAGGGTTTAGGGTTTAGGGTTTAGGGTTTAGGGTTCAGGGTTCAGGGTTCAGGGTTTAGGGTTTAGGGTTTAGGGTCTCTCTCTTTCGTGTGGAGGAGCTCGGGAACCTCATTGAAAAGTATGATTTGGACGGCGCGAGGCGCCCAGATGTCATTGCAGCTGTCATGCCTGCAAACGGTAAGGGTTAAGGGTTTAGGGTTTAGGGTTTAGGGTTTAGGGTTTAGGGTTTAGGGTTTAGGGTTTAGGGTTTAGGGTTTAGGGTTTAGGGTTTAGGGTTTCGGGTTTCGGGTTTCGGGTTTCGGGTTTCGGGTCATGAGTTCCATGCCATCCCAGGTGGATTACAACTGGGAGTACCCAGGCTACCGTGGCTCAGCATGAGATCTCCGAATCCTGAACCCAAAGAGCCCAATAGGGTTTAGGGTTAGGGTTTAGGGTTTAGGGTTTAGGGTTTAGGGTTTAGGGTTTAGGGTTTAGGGCAATAGCCCTTAATTAGGGATTTCTACTTAATTTTTATAGGGGATCCTGAATATGATTTAAGGTATATGTCCTTAGTTAAGGGGTATTGGGCTCTTTGGGAAGCGAGCTGCGGCTTTTTCAGCTAGCTGAGGATTCGGGCAGGGATACCTCTCTGACACAGAGGTGATGCCCTCAGCCTCACCTCACTGTGCCTCGTCCCTTGCTGGGACTGGGCGTGCCCCTAAACCCTAAACCCTAAACCCTAAGCCCTAAACCCCCGCGGAAGGTCCAAGCAGACTATCGAGGCTTATCCAAGCTCGCGCCGCTGCCCAAGCCGCTGCGTCGTCAGCACAGCCCACCACGTTAAGGACCAAACGAACCCTAGAAAGGGTTTAGGGTTCAGGGTTTAGGGTTTAGGATTGGTACTTCCCAAAATGGGGGTTCCGTCCCACTTTTCTTGCCCAAAGGGGAAGATAATCCCCTTAAAGGGACCCCCCCCCCCCCCCACCCCCCCTCGGGAAAAAGAGAAAGAAGGGTACCCCCATTTTCGGAAACCCCATATACCCTAAGAGGGAACAAAATACTACAGGGTAGAATGATATGGTCCCAGATTTTGGCCCCCATATACCCTAATAGGGACTATAGTACTACAGGGTTGGGGTTTAGGGTTTAGGGTTTAGGGTTAGGGTTTAGGGTATACCTGAAGATCCTAGCGGCCGGAATTAGTGTCCTTGTGGCAAAATCTGGATTTTACCGTAGAAAGGCCGTATTTTGTTTTTTAAATGGTTTTTTGGGGTGTAGGCAAAGCGGCCATATTTGAGGTTTAGCCTAATAATAGTCAAGCAAGTATCCTATTGCCTGTGTAAGGGAACTCGTTGGTGTCTCTGAAGCCCAAAAGATTGAAAAGAATTGCTTTGCGAGCACTTACTCAACTCTTTGTGATCCAAGGACCTACAGGAAATGGGTCTTCCGCAACAGACTACAAATCCGTACCCTTATCCCAATAAAACGTCGACATTTTTTCGGGATTTTGGTGAGCCGCAGGAAACCGTAGGAAAACCGTAACCTGTAGGAAAACCATATTTTATCGACATTTTGTCGACAAAAAACCAAAGAAAACCAAACCCCAATCCCGATAAAATGTCAATAAGCGGGCTTTTTTTTTTACCCTCGTATAATGAGCCTGACCGCGTAATCCAGACCTCTACAAGGCACGACCGCTCCCTGAAACCAAGCTCTTTCAGCCTTCTCAAGCCTGAGTACCTAACTGGTCCATGTTTCGGCTTCACTTGTTTTGATTGTGCTTTGTTCAGGGCCGGAAACTGTTTTTTGCAGCCCTTCCAAGCGGACAGAAATTTCGGGAAGACATATTTTTCCAGCCTCTCGAAGCGGACGCGAATTTATGGCACAAGGGATTCCCAGGTAGGGTTTAGGGTATAGGGTTTAGGGTTTAGGGTTTAGGGTTTAGGGTTTAGGGTTTAGGGTTTAGGGTTTAGGGTCCTGAGAAGGCACCAGCACCTCAGGTTCGCAACGCGAGAGATGTACGCGAAGCGCGGGTGGACCTCGAAGGCCTCTGAGAGCGCGGTTTAGGGTTTAGGGTTTAGGGTTTAGGGTTTAGGGTTTAGGGTTTAGGGTTTAGGGTTTAGGGTTTAGGGCTTAGGGTTTAGGGTTCAGGGCTCAGGGTTCAGGGTTTAGGGTTTAGGTTAGGGCCGAAGATGCTGAAGTTGAGCCATTGCTGCTTAAGACCCCCCCCCAAAAAAAGAAAAAAAGGAAAAGAAATGAGCAAGGAAAGGGTATGTAGGAAGGCTTTTTTTTGTTGGGGGGGGGGGGGGGGTGTCTGAAGCAAATAGTAGGTTGTGGTACGGCAGGTCATTACATTGGCCTACTATCCCGATGGTCGGCAAGAGCAGCTGCTGAAAGAGTACGGTGCGCCCTTAAGTGCTTCGAGTGAGTTGGCCACTGGCTTGCGGCACTGTGAACTAGGGTTTAGGGTGTAGGGTTTAGGGTTTGGGGTTTAGCCCGCCTTCCCAAGGTTTGCCGGAGTCGCGCACTCAGAGCTTTTCACAGCGACGTTGCTCTCATGGATGGCCGAGCCTGCCTAAGGGTGGTGGACCTCCTGCACATGATGAGTTACGACCAAGGCAACAATGCAAAATGCTTGTCATGCTTCTGGGGTTTCATGTTTAGGGTTTAGGCCTAGGGTTTCATGTTTAGGGTTTAGGATTATATCGCGGCAGCGCCAGACCAATGCGCGTCACATGTTCGTGTAGAGGTAGGGGTTGGGGGGGAAGGAGAGGGGGGGGCAGGGCAGCCTGAAAAATGGATTTCCGAGCTTGGCCAGGCGGCGGGCATCACAGCTCATTGGACTATGGAAAGAAGAGTGCAGATCAAGGGTGATGACCTGAGTTCCGGATGCCCTTGCAGCCCTGAAGGAAGGCCTGATGTTCTGCGTTAAGCCTTGGAAATGTGATCTCCACATTGTTAGGACGCAAATTCTGCCAGCACGCCAGCTGACGATGGGCGTGCCCTTTTACGGTGGGGCACTTGCAGCTGACAGTGTTCACCTGTGGCACCAAGAACTGGGTTTAGGGTGTAGGGTTTAGGGCTTAGGGTTTAGGGCTTAGGGTTGCAGAACTGTGGTCCACACACAGGTCGCCACAGTCGCAGTGGCGAGTGGACTACATACGAAGATTTGGCCACGAACTCGGAACGAACCACTCACGTTTATGTCCATTTTCTTGACCCTAAGCCCTAAGCCCTAAACCCTTGCCGGAGGTCCAAAAGCATTGGCCGCTGAATCCCAACGTAGATTCCGTGGATGCGCCTGACCAAGGCTACATATTGATTGAACACAGGGTTTGGGGATATACACGTCCACTGTCCATATGATTTTCCACTTTTGCTTTGAAACAGTTGCAGAAGCCAGGAACGATCGGTTTCAACGGTGCCGGCAACTCATAACTTGATCGTTGAGATTGCGCCAATGTTTGATTGTATGTGGCCTGCTGGTTGCCCTAGACCCGAAACCCTAAACCCTTGGTTGCTGCTTGCCTTTAGGTTGACACTATCCGGCACAAGACCGGCTACGCGCTGCAAGTGGAGTTGGGCGGCGTATCTTGCCAGAAGTTCAAGCTGCAGCGTCAATGCTGCAGGCTGTTTTGTTGATGTGTGTGCGTGTGTGCATTCCAAGTGGACCCCTTACGTTGTGAGAATCATTCGTGTTCAGAGCGTGCAACTGTTTGATCTTTTCTTGTAGGAGTTTGGGCAGCACTGCGGCTTTCGTCGCCTAGATTTTTAAAATTGGTAAAGAGCCTTACATGCCTCATGTTTTTAGACGTTTGAAGGGCTCAGACGTTTGAAGGGCTCAGTGTTGCCTCCACCCGAGACCCTGGACACACAGGTCATGATTTGGGAAGTTGGACAAGATTGTCGGCTTGTCCCCGTGGTGCCTTCCTTAGCAATGTTACTGGCCATGGTTTTTGTTTGTTTTGCCAGCTGTATGTTTTGCGGAAATGGTTGACGCCACGTTGGCCCGAACGTAGTCTTGGAAGAGACATGAACTTGAGTAAACCCTTGAACTTTAAGCCCTTATCCACCCTCATGAATCTGGCTCTTGCACACAATGCACGGATCGACCACTGTTCGCCTCGACTTGCGCGATCCTGAGGTGCATGGTTCAACCACCCATGCCTGGTGCTCGGGACTGCGGGCAGACCAACACCTATAGTTGAGGTTTAGGGTTTAGGGTTTAAGGTTTAGGGTTTAGGGTTTAGGGTTTAGGGTTTCGGGTTTGGAATTTGGGCTTTGGGTTTAGGGGTTGGCCGTTGGGCGTTGATGCTAACAGGACTAACAATAGGCTATAAGTCGTGCGCTTAGTAGGTTTGAGGGGTTTGCAGTGGTTGTGATGTTTTCTCAATTGTTGCCCTGCTTTGAGTGTTTGTAAGGCTTGCCTGTGAGATTTAGGGTTTAGGGGTAGGCCGTGTTTGTGGAGGGTTCACAAAAGGGGCACTGTGGATTTAGGCTTTGATCAAACACTGGAGCACGGTTGCGGGTTGAATGTAGAGGGCTTGGGCCTTTTGAAGGTGTTGAACATAGCTGAGCCCTAAACCCTGAACCCGAGTCCCCCCCCGTAGTTAAGCATGTGGAGCCTGTGGAATGAGGCTGGCGATCAGATGGCTCTGCAGTTTAGGGCTAGGGTTTAGGGTTTAGGGTATAGGGTTTAGGGTCTAGGGTCTAGGGTTTAGGGTTTAAGTTTAGGGTTTAGGGTTTAGGGTTTAGGGTTTAGGGTTTAGGGTTTAGGGTTCAGGGTTTAGGGTTTAGGGTTTAGGGTTTAGGGTTTAGGGTTTAGGGTTTAGGGTTTAGGGTTTAGGGTTTAGGGTTTAGGGTTTAGGGTTTAGGGTTTAGGGTTTAGGGTTCAGGTTGCGAGTTGCGCTCAAGAATCCTTTCAGCGTTATCCCTGGGCTTTTAAAAGCCCGCGCAAAAACGCCAGCAGACGCCTTCACCTTCAGGACCAAATGGACCCGACAATTGGGACCATAGACGATAGCCCTAAACCTTAAATCCTAAATCCTAAACCCTAAACCCTAAACCCTATACTACTATATCCCTATTGGGGTATATGAACCGTAAGCCCTTGGAGGGTTCATTGGGTCCTGAAGAATGCGCCCGGCTGACAGGCTAGAACCTGCCCCGAGGACAGCGCCTCGCTTCTGCCGGGACCTTGGGGGCCAGTGAGGGCCGGTGGTGAAGGGTTTCGGGCTTCCGGGGGTTTAGGGTTTAGGGTTTGGGGTTTAGGGTTTAGGGTTTAGGGTTTAGGGTTTGGGGTTTAGGGTTTAGGGTTTAGGGTTTAAAAGGTTTAGGCTATCGGTTAGGGTTTACACGTTCGATAGGTGTACACAGGCACTCGACTGGGATGGCCGAGGCTGTCCATCTCCAGCGCGCTTACGGCTGCCAAGCGCCAGCGGATGCGAACCGCAGGTACACATGCGACCCGATTGACACAGGGACTTAGATGGCTTAGGGTTTAGGGTTTAAGGTGGAGGGTGTAGGGTTGTGCTTGTTTGATCGGTACCGTGAAGGAAGCCATGTAAAGTGCTTGCGTGGGTATTTCTTAGGCGCCGGTAATATCCTGAACGGTTTTCGTAATTTAGTATTCTCCATTTTTCCGGGTTCAAATTCGAAGTTCCAGGGGGTACGATTGAACCAGCACTTGCGCAAGATCAGGCTGGAAAGTTGAACCAACCTCGTAAACCCTACGCCCTAGAATCACACCCTAGACCCCATGCCGATACCATCGCATCCCTGGCAGTAACCCCAGACCACCTAGACCCTAAACCTCACCCTAAACCCCTAGGCCCCTAACCGTAAACCGAACCCGAAGTCTTTACACCCTACACCGTAATTCAGCCCCTAAAAACCTAGACCCCTAAAACCCTAAACAACCCCTAAGAGCCCCTCTATACTCGAAAAGGTTTGCCTTTAGTTCCGCTAGGAGGCTGGACAACTAAGTAGACCCCTAGACCCCTCCAACCTAAAACTCTCTAACCCTCAACCCTATACCCTAAACCCTAAACCCTAAACCCTAAACCCTAAACCTTAAACCCTAAACCCTAAACCCTAAACCCTAAACCCTAAACCTTAAGCCTCTAGCAGGCCCTCCCCGAAGCCCTGGAATGGAAGGTTGGAGTCCCTCGCAGCTGTCGTCGGACCGCGGGGACGAGCTGTGATGGTAAAACGTGCTCTCAACGGTTTAGGGTTTAGGGTTTAGGGTTTAGGGTTTAGGGTTATAGGGTTTAGGGTTTAGGGCTTAGGGCTTAGGGCTTAGGGTTTAGGGTTTAGGGGTTAGGGCTTAAGGTTTAGGGTTTAGGGCTTTGGGCTTAGGGCTTGGGGCTTGGGGCTTGGGGCTTGGGGCTTGGGGTTAAGGCTTCCGGGTTTAGGGTTTCGGGTTTAGGGCTTATAGGGCTTGGGGTTTCATTTGGGTCTGGGGTTTCGGGTTTAGGGCTTAGGACTTCGGGGCTAATTGGGGGTTTGGGTTTCGGGTTAAGGGAAAAATAAGGGTTTAGGGTTTAGGATTTAGGCTGGTTCTTTGGGGTTAGCTCGCGTGAGGTCACAGGCGTCCCGATCTTGAATAGGGCAACCGAATGAGAAAGTCCGCTGCCATGTGTGGCTCACCAGTTGCGCTGAATGGAGGGATGGCTATACAGCAACCCGAAGCCCTAAGCCTTCAAACCCTGAACCTCACAATTTTGGGTTTGGGGTTTAGGGTTCTCATTGCGGTAACATGCAGTTCTCAGGGACGAGTGTCAGCTTCTGGTTTGCAAGATTCACACACTTCGGTGGCGTCGACTGAATATAACCCAGGTAGGGCCTTGACAATATGTTGTATTTTCCTCATTGAGTTTAATCAAGGGTGCAGTAAGGAGCCTATAAAAAGCGTGCCCCTATCATATAAGAGGTTGCGGTTGGGTCGGTGAGTGGCTGGTGAGTGGCATGTGAGGCACATGTGAGGGGATGTCTCGGGGAAGAGCAAATGAGAAGCTTGTAAGGTCAAAAAGGGCTGAGGCTTGGCTATCCTGTGTAAGCATGTTTTTGCGTCGACCCTGCCTTTGAGTAAGCTCTCGTGAGAATTCAACCCGATCCAGGGTTAGTCAGGGCCCCGTTTTTTTGTCAGTCGAACGGGCGCAGCATTCGTCACGCAAGCTCTCGTCGCTCGAACTCCAAGACCAGGCCCGCAGAAGGCTCGAAGCAGCCAGAGGCCCGTAAGTGGCTCGCGAATGGCTCTATATAGGCTTGTAAGTGGCGCGAAGGCCCATGAGGGGCCCGTAAGTTCGCAAGGGGCCTGAGCGGCACGTAAGCGGCATGTAAGTGGCATGTAAGCGGCACGTAAGTGGCCGTAAGTGGCGCGTAAGTGGTAAGTGGCACATAAGTGGCACGTAAGCAGCCCGCAAGTTGCCAAGGGTCCCCGTAGGAGGCCCGTGTTGAAGCCCGCACAAACCTGTGCAGGAGACCCATGCAGCATCTGCCAAAAAACACCAGAACTTAGAAGTCAGGCAGCCTGCTCTTAGCCTCTCCCTGAAAAACACCAAAGGTTACGTACTCTCCTTACCCACACGACCTGATCTTACATAGCCTCTCCTTGCAAAACACCTAAACTTACATACTCTCCTTACCCAAGGGACCCGATCTTATGTGATAGGGGCACGCTGTTTATAGGCTCCGGAAGCAATCTTTGATTTAAGAAGGAGTTCTATGCAGGAATCGAATTTCAGAGGGTTTTACGGGAATCCTAGAAACCCTAAACCCTAAACCCTAAACCCTAAACCCCTCCCTGCCACGAGCCAGTAAATTCATTGCATGGTGCCAGCCTCCACGGCATGGCAGACGCCCGCCATGCGCAGCTGTCAAGCAGAGGCCTCGACTGAAAGCAGGAAACAAGCCCTACACCCTAGCCCTAAACCCTAAACCCTAAACCCCTGGTCCCTAAGCCCTAAACCCTAAACCCATCAACCCGAGACCCCTCGATTCCGCACCTAAACCTCTGGCAAGCCCTGAACTCCAAGAAACAAATCCCCGTACACCCTAGAGGCCCTGTTTGGAACATCGGCTTCTGGCGTTTAGGGTTTAGGGCCTAGGGCCTAGGGCTTAGGGTTAGGGCTTAGGGTTTTTCCAGGGACTTTAAGATGAAGGGTCCCTTCTAGGGGGCCCCTCCTTACACCAGGGTTTAGGGTTTAGGGCTGACGTGTTTGTACGCCCTAGAACGCCCCGAGCCTTATAAACCCTGATACAGACCAGCAGAACTCTCCAAACAAACCCTCAACCTAAACCCCAAACCCCAAACCCCAAACCCCAAACCCTGAACCCTGAAGCCTGAAGCCTAAACCCTAAACCCTAAACCCTAAACCCTAAACCCTAAACCCTAAACCCTAAACCCTAAACCCTAAACCCTAAACCCTAAACCCTAAACCCTAAACCCTAAACCCTAAACCCTAAACCCTAAACCTAACCCTAAACCCTAAACCCTAAACCCTAAACCCTAAACCCTAAACCCTAAACCCTAAACCCTAAACCCTAAACCCTAAACCCTAAACCCTAAACCCTAAACCCTAAACCCTAAACCCTAAACCCTAAACCCTAAACCCTTCCCTACAAACAGAAGCCGCCACCAAGAAAAGAAGGCGGCCCTTGCTTCGGGGAGCGACTCCGGAGGATGGGAGACGCCTTCGAGGCTGAGGCCGGCTGTTTGCGGCCATTTTGAAGAAAAGTTATACCGAATCTTGGGGTTTAGGGTTTAGGGTTTAGGGTTTAGGATTTAGGGTTTAGGGTTTAGGGTTTAGGGTTTAGGGTTTAGGGTTTAGGGTTTAGGGTTTAGGGTTTAGGGTTTAGGGTCTAGGGTTTAGGGTTTAGGGTTTAGGGTTTAGTGGAAAAAAGAGAAACCCTAAAGCCCCAAAAGTTCAGCCCGTGCACGATGTGCGCTTTCGGCCCCTGGCAGGCGCGGCAAGCTTTGGAGGACCGGGGAGCTGTCACAGAATTTTGCTTAGAGTTGAGGCGGTAGGGGTTTAGGGTTTAGGGTTAAGGGTTCAGGGTTTAGTTAGGTTTTAGGGTTTTAGGGTTTAGGGTTTAGGGTTTCGGGTTGGGGTTCAGGGTTCAGGGTTCAGGGTTTAGGGTTTAGGGTTTAGGGTTTGGGGTTGAGTTTAAGGGGCGTTTAGGGCTACGAATCAGGATCTCAGCGTCGTCTCCCCAACCCGTTTCCATAGAGGGTTGTTGTGGGATTTCACAAACCCTAAACCCTAAACCCTAAACCCTAAACCCTATAAACCCTAAACCCTAAACCCTAAACCCGGATTTCAGGCTTGCCGTTTTTGGCTGGGGGTTCGGGATGGAGGGTTTGGGGTTTAGAGGTTGCAACTCGAGCTCAAGCAGCTTGAATGCTTGTAGAGACGATCCCAAAGAATCCTAAGTACCTATATGGGGGACACTCACCTTAACCATAATAGTCATTCCTATTATAGAAACCCCTACTTTGTACTATGTAGGTACTTAGGACCCTTTGGGGATGTCAGCTCAAGTATAGGGGGCTGTAGGAAAGCCAGAGGGAATCATAAGCCTTGGATGTCCTTTTCGCTGCGCGACCAACTATCCCTTAGCAGGTCCTAGGAGTACCCGTGCTAACGCCCCTGCAACTTGGAGCGACCGCCCCCCCCAAGTCCTAAATGCTATATTCTGAACCACCCTCAGCCATGACGCCCCTAAAGCCCCGGAACCCTACTTCCCCGAAAAACCCGAAACCCCTAGAAGTGCCATGAGCATCAGATTCCACAAAACAGCCTGAAGTCACATTTTGTTTTTTTGTTATCCTAAACCCTAAACCCTAAACCCTAAACCCTAAACCCTAAACCCTAAACCAGTCGCTGCCCAGCAGTGCCCACCTGGCTAAGGGTGAGCTCCGCTTGCAAACCCCATCGTGCAACAAGGCACTCTAGTTCTTAGGGTGCTTAGGGTTTAGGGTTTAGGGTTTAACTCATCATGCAAGAATCCCGAGACCAGAACCCGTGTAGGGATATCTTGAAGGTACAGTAAGCCCTAAACCCAACATCCCTAAACATCCCTAAACCCTAAACCCTAAACTGTGTGAGCTTTTTCGCCCTTGTTGAAGACCTGGATAGGTGGCTGTGAGCAAGGCTGAATGTGAGGCAAGCCTCCTTCGAGAGGAGGCGCAACTCCTGAAAACCGCAACGAAGCTCAGGGTTTAGGGTTTAGGGTTTAGGGTTCACGGTTTCAAGTTTAGGGTTTAGGGTTTTGAGGTGAGGTTTCGGGTTGAGCTTCGAGCTCTGGGGCGTAGAGTTGTAAAGGTTTAGGGTTCCTTCTCTCTCTCTCTCTCCCTCTCTCTCTGTGCTGCTGTAGAGTCCAGGTCGGACGCGAGCAATGCAATAAGTAGAGGGCAAGAAGAGGGCTTTACATTTTTATCTTCAATGGTGTAGGGTTCCGGGTTTGGGAACTACTCAACCCTCAGACTCAGCCATGCATTCGGGTTTCCGAAATTAGGGGTACCTTAGGCCTTCTTGGGGTCCTTATCTGGCGGGTCTATATTCAGGGTTCCTTATTTTCGTAAACCTCCACATCTATTCCGTAGGTTAGTTTCTCAGGGAAGGCCCGCCCACAAACCCTAAACCCTAAAGCCTTACAACTCTATATAGCCCTAAACCCCAAACCGCGATTCTGGCGAAAGCTGGGTCGAGGGTCTTCGGATTGAAGGTTGAGTGCTTTCAACCTCAAGTGCCCTAAATCCGAAAAGTGTGCCCTAAACCCGAAACCACCGGTTTTCGGCTTGAGGGTTTAGGGTTTGGGATTTTGGGGTTTTAGACCTTGAGGGTTTCGGGCTCGGGTTTTGCGGCCAAGTTTTGGCATGCGGGCTTTCAGGTTTGGTGCTTGGGACGGTCTAGATGTCAGGCTTTTGCTATCGGGCAGGTTGGAAAGCACCCCCCACAACTGAAAATCCCCAAAGTCTAAACCCTAAACCCTAGAAGCCCCGGGTTTCGGGTTCAGGGTTTGGGGTTTCGGGAAGTTCTGTACGTAAGCTTATGCCGCTGCTTTCGTTTGCATGGTGTGCGTTAGATTTGTACCTGGAGCCTTTTGAAAGGCCAGTATCCCCCAACTGCCTACGAAGAGGCCAGTCCATAAAACGGTCAAAGCCATCAAACTCATCCTCGGAGGGTTTGGGTTTAGGGTG